CTGCTTCTGCTTCACTCGGGCCCTGCCTCTGCCCTCCCCCTGCCTCTGTCTCTGCCGACTTTTAACCCACCCCGTCCCGCAGCTTATATATAAATTTTTTTTTGTGTGCGGGCGCTGCCTCTGCCGCGAGTCTGCAGTGTGTGGGTCTAGGGAAGGGCGGAGAGCTAACGGAGCGTGTTGGTTGAGAAGTGTTGTAGATGTAGATGACAGATGAAGAAAAAATTTAAAATTTGACAAAACACCGCTAAGGTGCAGATGTAGTACTGAGTGCCGGGTATAAAAGTTGTGTCGCGTAAAAAGCGTCTCACACGTCCCTTCTCGTTTTTTATTTTGGATGTGTAATGTAATGTGTATGTAATTGAATCTTTATCAAATTACATCTTTTTTAGAAACAAACATGTCTGCAAAATATTTTGTGCTATTCCGCTCCAAATCTTTTCTTTGCTGACAGAAGAAACAATAAAGAATAAAGATCTGTCCAGCGCTGGCCTATCTGAGAGCTAAGAGAGAGCGTGGTGAATATGCAGGTGCTCCTGTATAGTTGCTTTATGCGTTTTACGTTCTGCAATTTCTCGAATGAGAAGGCACTGTAGTGAATACGTCACCTATTAGTTATTTTACCATGGACCGTTTGAAGACACGGGAGAGGAGAACGACGACGCTGGCAAGAAAAATGAGAGCAAAGAGCCGTCGAAGTAGAGCCAGCAGAGGGCCGGCAGAGATCCCAGAAGCCCAACTGAAAATTCAAAGCGAAGGAAGTCGATCACGAGAGCTGAAACGGAGTGGACGTGACTTAAGAAAAAGTGCTAAAACTTGAGTGCGTGAACAGAAGCAGCAGAAGCAACAGGACCAGGACGGACGACGGGCCAGCGAGGAATTATAACTACCCCCTCCGGAGTTTATGAAGTAACACACGATGCCAACTGGAGGGGGGAGTGAGACAAAGCAGGCAGGGTAAGCGAGTCTCACGTTGTGAGTAAGGGGGAAACTGGGCGGTGCGACAGGCAGGTTAAAGATTGAAAATAAGAGATGGCAAATGGTCCGTGTGACAGTATTCTGGTGCTGTGGGTATCGTGGGTCATTATACATCGTAGTGGTAGTTTTCCATGTGTTCCTTATTTCCCTCTCTCCTCCTCCTCCACGTAGTTTGAGTGAATGCCCGGGCCCTTTGCAGACGCTGACTGGCGTCCCCAATCATTCCTTCCCCCCACTGAATTAGTGAGTGAATTCACGGGCCCTCAAACGCCGTCCGATGATAGTCTTGGCCTTTGCAGACGTTGACTGACGTCCTCGAGTATTCTTTCCCCCTCCCCTATCGTCCAACGGTGTCTACACTGAACCCTTTCCACCCTAGAATCTCGGAGTCCCGGCTAATTATAAATTTTTCTGTAATTTCGACCCTGGCGTGACTGGGATATTTACCCCATCCAGAAAGCTTCCTTACAGATGGCGCCCGAGCATGGACTCCGGGATTCCATTATGTTTTAGGTGGTTAGGGATTTGTAGAGGAAAAATTTTTGTGGAGAAAAAAAGTGGAAACGGGATTTTTAGCCGTCATCGACTCGGAATGTTTCGATTGGCAGCACGTGGTAGTTTTTTTTGTACGTGACAACCAAGTGCAGGCGAATCACCTTGAAGCACATAGAGATCAACAGTTAATCTTTTGCAAACCACACGTACAGTCGAGGCTGGCTTTTCTAACCTCCCCAGCCATAGTGCACACGCGACCGTCCCTCGTGCGCCAAGCAGAGGAGCAGCAGCAAAAGAGCGGCGGCAGAGGAGCAGAGCGTCCGAGCGAGGGGCAAAACGACGAGTCGGCAGAGGCAGGTCGCGCGGCAGAGTTTCTTCCGTAGGCCGGGCGCACAAGATATATATTTCGGACCCCGAGACAAGAGGAGGAGTGAGCCCGCATAGGTTTACAGTGAATTTCATATCGGCGTAAGGACGAGCTGCAGACCATCGCTGTTGAATTCGTCTTCGGTGAGACGGGCACAGTGGAGGAACTGCGCAGTCGGTCATCCAGTGGAGATTGCGAGGCGCATTGAGGAGCTTGGGACGCAGTATGCTAGTGCACCAAGCCCGAGGACTCAGTGGACAGCACCGTCGGCATCGGGACCCAGCCGTGGAGAGCAGAAAGAGGGCATCCAGCTGGAGCAACCTCTATCCATAATAATTCCCGAAGTGCCTCGACTAGCCGGAGGTCAGGCCTGAGCCCTGCTCAGTGACAGCAGCCGCCAGGAAGCCATGCCGGATTATAAACATACCCAAGGTATCTACTCGCGTCGCCCTGCCGAGGAATTCCAAGCTTCGCGATCTGGCATGGAAGAAATCTCCTACTCATCATTGGCCGACAAATTGCGCGTCTGAGGACTGAAGTTCGACGAACATTCGGACGCATTGGCGTTCATCGAACGGCTGGAAGAGGGTGTGGAAGCTTACGAAGGGAGCCCAGAGCAACTACCCCGAGTCATCTCCTGATTGCTGACCCACAAGGCAGAAGTATGGTTTACATGGTCACTTCAGCAGCACCTGTCGGAATCGACGAGTTCTGTTCTGCTGGGAGTGTGGCCGCTTAGGTATCCCGACAATAGACTGTTGCCGTCAAGAGGTGTCGGGAAACAGATCTAGTCTCCACCCGGGAGGGAACCGAGAGGAGACATACAACCAGAATCCCCATTTATCAGCCATAGAATGGTGAAGGCACTGCTAGCGGAAGGAATTATCCGGGATGTAAGGACCCGCTTCCGCCTGGCGCAAGCAGTGACAGTCAAGGTACGTTTGGATCAACAAATAACACAGGTAACACGTCATACTAGGACTCGACTTCCTGTGTGGGATCCAAGCGGTAATACAATGCGGATGAGCGTTATTTTAGTTGACCCGAGAACTCAACAGTATTCCCCCGACACCGCCTTCTCGGATTCGCACAGTGACGTTCCGCCATGATCTGTCCTCGACCACGTCCCTCGTGAGTACACCCCTGGCTAACCCAACGACAACTTCTTCGCTTCGATACGACCACGCCAAATTAAACTGCCCATAGATGACGACGCCCTCACCACGCCACGACCACGCCAAACCCAGCAAGGCCCCTCTGATGACGCCATCGGACGGCGAACACTCCGACCTTAGCCGCACAACCAGGACAACGTAAACGGACTTTGACCCTGACGGACCCATCGCCAAAAGAACACGGATGGAGACGACTTCGACACCACAGGATGCTACCAGGGCCAGTCGGTCTATCCCTAAGACGTCCCAAAGGGACACTATCAGGAACAAAATTCGACGACGCACAGACCAGAAACAGGATCAGGACAACGTACCCCAGCCTCGACCACACCGGACCCAGGAGCACTACCAGGATAACGCACCGCAGCCCCGACCGCGCACGACTTAGCAACGCTACCAGGACAGCGCACCCAAGTCTCAACCACACCGGACACCGCAACGACGATACGACAACGTACCCAAATCCCGGCGATGGCATACCTAACTGCAGTAACGGGGCTATAATAGCTCTCCGGGAATACGGCGCCAGTGATCAGACCGGATGGACGGTGCATACATATGCGTGCGCTTCTATGCACTGTGAGAGCGACAACAGCATATTAGTATAAGAGATTATAAAGAGAGTATGAGCTGATCTTAAGAATTATTTATTTGCTGCTGCTCCGAACAAACAGGTTCTTCTAATTTCCATTTCGCCCTCCTTAGCTCGCCACTGCCGGCGATCAACTTCCTTCCCTGCTGATGATACGCACTTTTGGCTCGTTGCCGGGTCTCCCTGGACTTTTTGTGGCTGGTGTCTTTAGTGCTGCACTCAGTTCTCTCTCCACGGGTCTCAATTCCTTAGCATGTGTGCTCAGCCGTTGCTGAGGCAACCCCTGACGGAGCGCTGCCGCTCCGTACTGGCTGCGTGCGATTGTCATTGGCTTTGGCTTCTCCAGCATTGGGCTGGTTAACATTGTGGCAAAACTGGGCAATGTGGTGCCACTGGCCACAACCACATCGGCTGTGTCAATGGGTCCACTTTTGGGCATTTACGGCATGGACGTGGATCTTCCTTGGGTCAAATGCAAGGTGAGATTTGCACTGATATAAAATAATTTTGATACCCGGTACTCGAAGAGTAAATAGGGTATATTGTATTTGTGGGGAATAACGGTTGTATGTAAGGCATAGAAGGAAACGTTTCCGACCCCATAAGGTATATATATTATTGATCAGCATCAATAGCCGAGTCGATTGAGCTATATCTGTCTGTCCGTCCGTTCGTCTTGTTTGTCAGCTAGTTCTCAGAGACTATAAGAGCTAGAGCCACCAAATTTTGGCTCCGGACTGCTGTATGCTCACACTGAAACCAGTGTATTTAAAAAATGAGCCTCGCCCCCTTTCGCCTCCGTAAAAGGCGAAAAGCTCCCAAACCTACAGTTAGGAAATGGCCATATCTATCAGATCACCAAATTGGGATCCGATCGGATCATTATTATAACCACAATGAAGATATTAATTTGCAGTGGCTCACCCTGTCCCGCAGCTTTTGTTGTTCTTTTTACATTCTCTCATTCACACTGCTTCTGCTTCACTCGGCCCCTGCCTCTGCCCTCCCCCTGCCGATGCCTCTTACGACTTTTAACCCACCCCGTCCCGCAGCTGATGTTTTTTTTTTGTGTGCGGACGGTGCCTCTGCCTCTGCCTCGAGTCTGCAGTGTGTGGGTCTATGGAAGGGCGGCGAGCTAACAGAGCGTCTTGGTGTAAGAAGTGTTGTAGATGTAGATGACAGATGAAGAAAATATTTAAAATTTGACAAAACAGACAAAACAGCAGATGTTGTACTGAGTGCCGGGTATAAAAGTTGTGACGAGGAAAAAGCGTCTCGTCTCACACGTCCCTTCTCGTTTTAAATATCTTCAAAAATGAACACAAAAAGTTGTATGGCAGGAGAAGAAGATAATGCCATACATATATAATTCCTTCTTCTGCCATACAACTGGCTGTCATGGCCAGATATCGACAGAATTATCTGTTTTTTTGTTATTGCAGCTGGAGTTCCTCTTGCAGCAGGGACGTGACGATAGTTCGCTGCTGACAGATGGCGGATAGGATAGAACTGGGCGGTTTGTGGTAGCCTCTTGGCACACAGCACGCTTCCGGCTGATCCTGGACTTTAATGACTGAACATCGGGCTGTACAGAGCGGTTGTTCATGCCCAAGCCTGATAAGGCTCGCTTCGACAGATCAGGCATGCTGACGGCAGGTATTCTAGGGGGCAGGCGTGGCCCGGACGGTGGTCTGGAAGGTGTCCTGGAGAGTGGCGAGGGTTGTCGTGAAAGGAATTCCTCCGGCGTGCAGGCCATGCACATTTCGGTGTGGTTTACGTGGGAATTCTGTTGCTGCCACAACTGATGCTGTAGGGCTCTCTTATTGGACTCTTTTTCATTATCAGTTCCACCTGTGGAACGCTTCTTCTTGCGTTCCCGTTCCAGCTCCTTCTCAGAATCTCGTTCAGCGCGTAGGCGCCGTTTTTCCAACTTGGCTTGATTGGACGCACGGTAGTGCACGGTTTGGTTGTCGATGAGCATTTGGGTGACAAACTTGAACTGGTTCAAGCTTGTTTCGTTCTGATCGTCAATTTCTGTGGAGTCAGGGAGAAGATTTTGGGCTAATTACCCATTAACCCATTAAACAGAGGCATTTCCCTAAAAATCCGGGAATGCAGAAGATCATCAACGCCCAGGACGACGAACTACTCCGGGACGGACGCATCGAACCCTCGAAGAGCCCGCAAAGCGCTAACATCGTTCTAGTAGGAAAGAAAACGGGGGATATGCGCATGTGTGTATACTACCGGAAACTCAACGCTCGCTCCGTTCCGGATGCCTACCCACTGCCTCGAATCAACCACATCCTCGAGATACTCCGCAACACACACTACATTTCAACGTTGAACCTCAAGAACGGATACCGGAAGATCCCCTTGGCGGAGGGTAGTAGGGAGTGCACAGCGTTTACCGTTCCTGGTCGAGGCCTCTTCCACTGGAAGGTCATGCCGTTCGGCCTTCACTCGGCAGCAGCAACGTTTCAGCGGGCATTGGACATTTGCATACCTGGACGACATCATCGTGATAGGAGCAGCTCTAGAGGACCAAGTCGAGAACCTACTAGGGGTGTTTCGTAGGTTGAGGGAGGCGAATCTCCGATTGAACAAGGACAAATGCAGCTTCTTCCAAAAGAGCATAGTATACTTGGGCCATGTCATCAGCGAGCAAGCGATACACACTGACCCACAGAAGATCGTAGCACAGTCAAGGAACTACGGCGACGCCTGGGAATGGCGTCGTGGTATCGAAGGTTTGTTCCGAACTTCGCTACCATTCGCTACCTCTTGAGAAAAGATAGAAAGTGGGCTTGGACCGGCGTTCAGCAAGCAGCATTTGAGGAACTGAAAGAGAAATTTACCCAAGCACCACCAATTGACCAGTTTTGCTTTGATGTTCACTACCGACTAGGGAGCCAAAACGTCGTAGAATATGCCCTTTCTCGCCAGCCCGTTGAAGCCCTACAACGAACGCTGGAAGAACCGGCCAAGTGTTCGTGGATACAAAGGCTACTAAAACGGATCCAAACCCAGCTCGAGCAGTGCCGTTATTTCATAGTCAAGAACGGCCAAATATGTCGCCGCTAGGAAACCAACCGAACGAATAGGATTCCCATCAATGGAAATTGTGCGTTGCTAGTGACCACCGCCAGCGAGTACTTCAAGAAGGCCATGCCACGTGCAACGCTGCGAAAACAGCCAGAAGTTTTTTTTGTCTGGACGCTGATATGCAATGACTGCTCCATCAAGTGGCCCATGCGACACCAAGCCAAAGCCTGTTACGCGAGGAACCCCGCAGTACGCAGCCCTACTCCCGCCCACCCGACTGAGGGCGCTGCCGCATGACGCGCGGCTATGATAGATGTTAGGCTAATATTCGAGGAAAATTAGAGCTAAACACAACTAAACTAGATTACTAACTAAAATAAAACTAAATACAGGAGAAGTAGCCTAGTATAAGAGATTTAAGAAGAGGAAGGGAGTTAGTTGAGAATATAATGTAGGAGAGGGAATTATAATCCGACCATAAAACCCTAAAGGGTTCGTATGAGGCATAATTCGATCTACATAGTGGAAGGAACAAAGGAATAAAGTTTTTAGTGGGTCTAATGGGAATCGTAAAGTTTATTGATCAAGTTGTGCATAAAACCAAGCATTTTTCTACGACTAACTAAGGATGGAAGGTTTATTAGGAGTCTACTACGGTAGGATGGCAGTCTCACAGTTGCATCCCAGTTTATGCCCGCAGGGCAAAAAGTAAAAAGTTATTCTGCATTGATTCAATACGGTCCTGATGTATGTTGTACTGAGGGCACCATACACATGAGCCGTATTCTAAAATTGAACGAGCAAGCGAGATATAGAGAGTCTTCGTTATATAGGGGTCATCAAATTCCTTTGACCACCTCTTTATAAACCCAAGCACGCTCATGGCTTTATTTATCATGGTAGAAATGTGTTCAGAACTTTAACTTGGCTTCTAGTTTATCACCACGATCATCAACTAATGTAATTCTCTCAAGAGAACTACCGCAGAGGGTGTAAGGAGCCAGTAAGGGGCTGAGCGATGAAAAGTCATTACTTTGCACTTCGAGGCATTAAGGTGTAACATATTTTCACAACACCATGACTGAAAGCTATTGAGATCAGATTGGAAGCGAGAATGAAATGAAATGTCCTTATACTGGACTCAGAGCTTAACATCATCCGCATACATAAGTACTCGAGAATTTGTTAATACTGAAGGAAGGTCATTAATAAAGAGTGTGAAAAGTAAGGGGCCTAAATGGCTACCCTGTGGTACTCCAGCAGGGGTACCTATAGTATAGAGTCAAAGGACTCTTTGAGACCTATAACACAAGTAGCTAGAAATCCATCCCTAAAACCCTAAAAGGTCGCGCTTTTGTGCAAGAAGAGAATGGTTTACAGAATCGAATGCCTTACTAAAGTCAGTGTAAATAACATCCGCCTGCAAGTTACCTTGGAAGCCTTTAATGACAAAGGAGGTGAACTCCAAGGGATTAAATCCGTGATGAGCTGGAGATATAAGTGATTTGCAGAGATGTTGCAAGTGCGGAGTTAACATTTTCTCGAACATTTTATTCATAGCGGATAATTTAGATATACCTCTATAGTTTTTAGCATCAGACTTGCTACCTTTCTTATGGAGAGGAATTATAAAGGATTCCTTCCAGATGGGGGGAAAGCTAGATAAATGGATCGATAGAGTGAATAATTTAATCAAAGGTCCGCACAGAGACTCGGCACAGTACCTGAGTACAAGCCGGAAACTCCGTCAGGGCCCGGTGAAAATACCTGCATAACTAATTGAAGTTCATGAAGTAAGGAGCCTTCATTAAACAAAGGGCAGAAAATGCCATTCGACCTTGGTAAACTATATGGATACATATGACCTGGGTAGCTTTCCTGGGAATAGGTGGTTAGAAAAAATTGTGCAAAAAGATCGGCGATTGCCTGATCATTTTTTGCCGACATATTCAAAAATGATAGCGAGGATGGATGTGCGGACGTTCTACGCATACTGTTTACAAAGCTGTAAAACTGTTTACGGTCCTGTGAAAAACGTATTGAGCATTAAGAACAGTGAAATTTTACCGAGCTATTAAGCAATTAAAAAGAGAAGAGGGAGAACCAACTTCTTGAGATTTTTTAAATAGTCTTGATTTTAGATTTTGTAGACTGGATAACTCTTTGGTGAACCAAGGAGGTTTCGAAGATTTAGTCGGACATGAGAGTGGGACACACGTGTCAAAAATTATGTCAAGTACATTGTAAAAAATGTTTGTGCCTTCAATGACGTCAGTGCACAAGTACAGAGCGGACCAATCAAAATGTCTAATTAAGTTATTGAGCTTCGTAAACTCGGCTTTACGAAAGCAACGGACGCGTTCAGATAGCCTACCCGCACGATCAGATACAGTAGGTCCAATATCTATCGACACTTCGAAAGTAGGATGATAGCAGTCTTTAGGTATGGTGAGCGGGAGTGCTCGTGTTAACAACGCTACGGTCCGGACAAAGCACAGATCAAGCAATCGACCCAAGGAGTTTTTTACATGGTTGACTTGAGACAGGGACAGGTCTAATAAGCCATCAATAAACTCATGTCGTGACATGGGCACAAGGTTGTTTGACTCGTTAACCGAAGACCAGACAGTAACTGGCAGGTTGAAATCCCCAAGAACTATTAAATGGTCTTTATCAGATAACGAGGAAGAAACAGTTTTTAAGGCAGACAAATGCTGCTCGTATATTAGTACATCCGAATTCGGTGGAATATACGAGCAAGTGACATAAATCGACTGGCCGGGAAAAATTAGTCTAACACAGAGGAATTCCAGGTCTTGTGGGACCTGGACTATAAATAAATTATAAGTTTTATTAATAAAATAAATACTATAGCTATATAGTATAGTATACTATACTATTTGGTTAGTGGTAATACCTAAAGCGGGATCGAAAACAGATGAGTGGAGAGAAGAACAAGTGCAGCGACAGCTGTACAGTAGAGGTGGATTACTATCGATCGTGGGCACCATCGATAGTGGTCGATACTGCCTTCGATAGTCGCATTAAACATTTTGTTGTTGTTATTTATAACGTTTTAAGTATTTTTTATTTAGCCACAAATTTTGATTTAAAAATAGAGGACGTTTACGTTGTCCTCAATAAGTCTTGTTCGCCTTCCGCAAACAATTTGCTCAGAATTACTACATTACGCATAATGTTTTAGGTGCACATTTAAAAAGAATCCAAAATCAAACGCAGAATACAGGTTAAACTGGACTGAATGTATGGAAAGTGGATTAATTATTTGTTGTTGAGAAAAAAGGGGGATGATGATATGAACTATTCTATTCAAATCACGGGAAACTCAGGTGTCGTCGAAAATCCCTCTTCTCTACCCTCCCAACCTATGCTATACTGGTAAATCGAACCGTACAGACCCTAGAAAAATCAGGCAGTTTTCATCCACTTCGACCTTGCTTGTCTGAGGACGGACGTTAGAATTTATAACATATTAAATCTGCGTTTCAAAACAAAGGCTTTCAGATATATTTCCATGACTTCCTATTATTATAATTAAATATCACCTTAGCCTTTGAATTGTGACGACGCACAATTTTGTAGTATGTAAGTAGTTATAATTGGTAGATATATAAGTTCTATTATAAAGGGGAAATTATGAAGTCTTTGTTATATATATATAGGGTAAAGTTTTCACTAAGAAAGTTACTTGTTTTATATTTTATTAGGTATTTAGGAGAGGTACGATGAAGTCTTTATTATTAAGTTTATAATTTTCCATTATTAGTTTCTAAGTTATATTATTAGGTGAAATTCTGAAGTCATAATTTAAGTTCGCGGCCCACAGTAACCAACAGCAGCAGAGCCAAAGAGAACGACGAAGTGAGCCAGCAGCCCGAGAGCGGCCAGCAGCAGAGCAGCAGAACGAAACGAGAACGACGACGCGAGCCGCCAACAGAACAGAGAGAGCAACGCCGAGAGCCAGCAGCAGAGCAGCAGAACGAAACGAGAACGACGACGAGAGCCAGCAGAAGAGCGGCAGAAGCAGAGCCAGAGATCAACGCCGAGAGCCAGCAGCAGAGCAGCAGAGCGAGAGAGCAAGGGCGCCGGCAGCAGTCCGAGAGCCACGGGCGTGGGCAGCGACGGCAGCGCAGCCCGGACAAGGGACCGCAGCTAAGGGCTCGCGATCGCCACGCAGAGCTCGCCTCAAAAAGAAATGTTTCGAACACCGGGAGGACCAGTCGAGATCGCTGCGGCGACAAAAGTGAAAAGAGTAAAAAGTGCGCCATAACCCCAACGTTGCCCACGAGAGGCTCAAAAACACGTGCCCACGAGAGGCTCAAGACACCGAGCGACAGGCGAGGAGACAAAAAGACCGATAGGCTCGAGAGGATCGGGTAAGCGAGGCTGTGGGCCTCACCCTTTTTCTAGTACGTCTTAGTTTGGTGCGACGTAGGTAGGGACATAGGAAATTTAAGTACATACGGCGGTAAGACAGGGAAAAAGACAAGGAAAAATATGAAATAAAGATATGAAAAAAAGAAACAAAACTAAACAATGTGCTCGTGTGTAACAGTGTAAATTTAACCCTTTCCCCCCCTCCCAAAGTGCAAGACGGTAAGTGTGGTCGCCCACCGTTGGAGGCTCCGCTGGGCTGGTCGCAGGTCACTACCGCGCCAGACCGCGGGCTCTCAAACGGCGCGTGCCTACCTCCGAAACGGGTGCTGCCTAGGTACTACCAGGGGTGCTCGCGTCGGAGCAGACAGGGGCGGCTACACTGTCAGAAGGCGCCTCCGCTAACCCCGGTGGTCGCCCACCGTTGGAGGCTCCGCTGGGCTGGTCGCAGGTCACTACCGCGCCAGACCGCGGGCTCTCAAACATTTGTCTTTGAAATTTAGGTTTCCCTTAACATAGGCCGGTCTGCATGCACACGAGTGCATTTTCCCAAACACCTTCACGTGGGCACAGTTTCACGGACACTGGGGCACCCAAAACCACACATTCACAGTTTTAAAGTAATTGGCCAGGGGTTTCTTTTGCACGCGTTTCGGCACTTTTGCCAATTGCCCAGTTTTACGGACACTGGGACACCCAAAAGCACACGGGAACAGTTGGAAAATCATTGGTCAAGGTTTTGTTGTTTCCGGTTTACACACTGTACGGGAAAATTCCCAGTTTTCAAGGAACTTATACGTGCCAGTGAGAGGCATGCGGGAGTGAGCACACACGAGGTTCTCAAGGCCCACAGGGCCCAGAGTACACATTTCGGAGCTACAAGGAGCAGAGAGATCGCACAGAAAAGAGGTTATATTTTTTTGGGTGATCGCATCTACGAAGGTCGGAAGAGAGAGAGGCGGCCCACGCAGCGCTCGTGAGCTCTCGGTCACGATTGTTCGGCCGCAAATGAATCCCCCATAAATTAAGCTAGCAGAGCATAAAAGAGGACAGTCGACCCAGAGTCGTGGAGCAGTGCACATCGTTCCTAATCATAAACATTCTGACCAAGTGAAAACAAAAGGATTTACCAGGGATACTACGGGTATACAACAAGGACATCGCACAGGATACTAGAACCAAGGACATCGCACAGGATAACACTACGATACAACAAGGATACTAGGAACAAGGACAGCGCACAGGATACCAAGGATACTAGGAACAAGGCCATCGAACAGGATTGGACTAGGAATACACCAAGGCTAGAAGCGACAAGGGCAGCGCACGGGATAAAACCGAGGATACACCAAGGATACATTGCACAGGCATAGCACAGGACACAGCTGGTATACAACAAGGACACAAGCGACACCGGAATCAAGGCACAGGACCCAGGACACGGGAGCAGACTCCACATAGTAGCATGGTAGGAGTAGGATGGATCTCGTACCGGCGCAAGGCGGAACTGGAGGCATTCGCCAAGGAATTCAGACTCGAACGGGAAGGCCCCGTGGAGGAACTCCGAGGCCGCATGTCTGCCTTTGTGAACCGTGGGGGACACTCGGCTTCCATCCAGGCCCGCCTAGAGGAACTTGAAGACACCTTTGGACGAGCACGGACTCCAGACACCAAGCCAGAAACACAGCAGCGATCTCGGAGCCTCTCGCCTACTACGAGTGGAAATGGACCCCAAGCGAAGGAAATTCCCCAAGAAGAACCAACCAGACCGGGGATGCATTACGTAAGCATACCGGTGCCCGGACAGCAGCAGTTCGTGTCGCGAACCAACGAGAGGGTGATGCTACCAAATCAATGCGAGGAGTCACTTTTGACGGCGTCAGCGATCCCTTGCGATTCATCGAGCGGTTGGAGGAACGAGCCGTATCACACCGAGTGGACACCAGCAGTTTGGCCCAAGGAGTACCGGAACTTTGAAAAGGTACTGCCGAGGACTGGTTCCGCACGAGTCATCTACAGGGAGAGCCATGGAACGTGTTTCGCCGGGAGTTTTTGGATTTCTTCCTACCCCCGCGGTACTTTCAGAGACTGGAGGACGAGATCAGGATGCGATACCAGAGGGAAAACGAGGGATACAAGCAGTATCTAGTGGACATTCGCCTAATGATGAACCGCGCTGGTTACTCGGAAGCTCAGGAACTCGAGCGGGTGTACGAAAATCTGCTGCCCGAATACCAGTTGTACGTGAGACGCATGGACTTCCGCACATTCAAACAGTTAACACAACTGGTGATCAACTTTGAGATCACCCGGGAACGCGAGCATCAACGTCAAGCCAGAACCAGGACAGGATCAGCAGCGATGTTAAAGCGGGGAACCGGCGCAACGAGCCCCAAACCCGAATCACAGTGGACGACTTCGAACGCAGCAGCGGGGCCTAAAGAGGGAAAGGATCCAGGAACGATAGGCAATTCCAGCAGCGAGCAACCGGTGGACACACGTATGAGTTCCGGAACTGCGGAGTGCTGGGACACTTTGCCAGGGAATGCCGTGGAACTCGGACACTATTCTGCTGGAACTGTGGCCGGCGAGGAGTGAGGACCATCGACTGCTGCCAGGCCAAGGAGACGGGAAACGCCCACCGCCCCTCATCAAACCCAGGACATATGAGAGGGCCAACGAGCGAGCCCTGGGACTAGCGGATGTCATACGTCCGCGAGATGGCAGGCTTGCCGCCGAGGCAAGCATCGAGGCTGAGGTGATGATAGCGACGCTGGACACGGGGGCCACGCGGAGTGTTCTCAGCGAGCAGAAGGCACGACTCATCGAGACCCCGGCTAACAGACGAACAGTGCGAACAACAATAGCTTTGGCAAATGGGACAAGGATGGAACTAACGCGGGCAATTCAAGCAGAGGTACGACTCGGACAATCACGGGCTAGCCTCCTGATGCTGGTCCTGCCATCGGCTCTCGACGACGTGCTACTCGGATTGGATTTCTTTGCCGCCATAGATGCCAAGCTGCAGGTAGGAGGGTTGCTCATGCCCTTGAGCAGAGCCAACCACGTAACCACGGAGTGCCACCGACCAGCGAGGACAAACCAGGACGACGCCTGCATCCGCGAGGCGGTCGTCACATCAACAGAGACCACGGGGACACTCAAAGACGACGCCTGCATCCGCGAGGCGGTCGTCACACGACCATGGAGGACAAGGAATCAAGATGATCCCGGCACCTGAAACCGCGAGGTGGCCGGGTCATCATCGACGACGAGGACAAACCAGGACGACGCCTGGATCCGCGAGGCGGTCGTCACATCAACAGAGACAACGAGGACACTCAAAGACGACGCCTGCGTCCGCGAGGCGGTCGTTACATCACCATGGAGGACAAGGATTGAAGATGATCCCGGCACCTGCAACCGCGAGGTGGCCGGCGGGTCATCATCGACGACGAGGAAAAGCAAGGACGACGCCTGCATCCGCGAGGCGGTCGTCACACGACCAGGGAGGACAAGGAAGCAAGATGATCCCCGCACCTGCAACCGCGAAGTGACCGGCGGGTCAGCATCGACGACAAGGAAAAGCAACCTTAGCACCTTAGCAGTGAGAACGAGGACCACACAGGACGACGCCTGCATCCGCGAGGCGGTCGCCATAGCAGCATGGAGGACAAGGATGCGAGATGACCCCGGCACCTGCAACCGCGAGGTGAACGGCGGGCCATCAGCAACGACTAAGACAAACCCGGACGACGCCTGCATCCGCGAGGCGGTCGTCCCGTCAGCAGAGACAATAATTGTACGAGAAGACCACGGCACCGAACGAGACCGAACTTGGAGAGGCGCTCTTGGCCCCGCGCGACTGAAAGCCACGCAACGGAACCCGTTTCGCAGAAGGCCAGATGACTTACCAGTACCACTTGGGGTATAACATAACCAGCATAACAGACGAATGGCGCCCAACGTGGGGCACGATCCGGATCGCCCCGAATATATACAAACACATTTGACATAGTTAACACCTGACTTTCAGCCTTGCTAGATCGTTCGTGCAGATGTTCGTATTTCCTGTCTCAGCTATCCAATGGATACTATGGATCCGTGTAAGCTAAACATGGCCTAGAACCTTATCAGGGTATGCTGATAAGCTGCTTTTATTGGTTATAGATTTTGTTTTCTTGTGATTTGTTTTCTAATATTTTTTTTGTAATATTGCTTTCTTATTGGTTTATTTCTATTATTGATTATATAACTTTTTGTGTTATCGATATGGTGGTATCTCGTAGTACGAAGAATTTAGTGTACTCAGTTGATACGGGGAAACATTGTCAAATGTGTACAGAAGTTATTGTTTATCAGGCCCAATTATTATCGGCAAGTTGTGGGCTTATTTTTCATAAAGCGTGCTTCACCTCTAAAGTATCTAATAAAAAGGAGTGTCCTACTTGTCAGCAAGACCTGAAGATCATATCAGCTTCCTCCGAGAATCTTAGCCCCAGTGGTCGGTCTACTTCCAGCTCCCGGACTCCCTCTGTTCTTCAGTCTCTTCAGACTATCAAACTAATCGGCTAGTTCAAGCCATCTCTGATGGACTCCGATTTACTCCCTCCGTTCCGTCAACAACCATAAACACAGCTCTGATGCTACCGGTAGACGAAATAGAGCAACAAACGATGGAACAACTTTTCCGATTGTCCACCAGTGGCCAGATACCAGTTTCGGGGCATAATCCGTCGGGAACTAATTTGTCACCGATCATACCCGGACTCTCGACCTTGGGGCAAACTAGCAATGTTGGTTCAGGAGTTTCTTCAGCTTCGACAGCTTCATCTCTACGTGCAGATCGTGTTAGCCAGATAATTTCTAATTGGAAACTGAGATTTACGGGAAAGGCTAGTATGTCAATTGAAGACTTTATTTATCGTATTGAGGCATTGACAAAGCAAACTTTGGACGGAAATTTCGAGATAGCTGCTCGGTACGCTAGCAACCTTTTTGATGGAAGCGCCAGCGAATGGTTTTGGCGGTATCATAAAAGTGTCCCTGAAGTCCGATGGTTGGAGTTATGCGCAGCGTTGCGTGGTCAATTTAAAGATGACCGAACTGATAGAAACATCCGAACGGAGATAGAATTAAGAAAGCAGCGACCAAACTAATCCTTTGATGATTTTTATGGAGCTATTGCCGCTTTAGCAGACAAACTCTCTGAGCCTATGTCTGAGGAAGCCTTGGTTGAGACACTGCGAGCAAATCTGTTGGCTGATATTCAGCATGAGATTTTGTATGAGTCGGCTGCGAATGTTAAATCCTTTCGTCACCTTGTCCGAGCACGAGAAATATTCATGCAGTCCGTAGCGAAATCAAAGATTCCCCTTGCTGCTCCCCGTGCTTTACCACGCCGCCAAGTTAACGCTATATCAGACGAATCAATAACCACCGATAATGAAGAATTATCTGCAGAAGAGGATCTTGAGGTTTCCGCT